ACCAGTGCCAATGATCCTCCAAGAGAATGGACGGCTTCGAGAGGGTGACACTGCTCAGAATCTCTCCAGAAGAGACCATCGAAGGCGGCGCAAGGGGGAGGGGGGGGGAGGGCCGAGGATGGATGGATTGGGTTTGGGGGGGGGGGGGCTACAGCTCGACGGCGGCAGCATCCTGCTCACGCATGGCGGCAATGAGGGCATCCATTGAGCCCTCGGCGCCGAGATCGGAGTTCTCGATGGCGAGAATGTCGTGAAAGTGGCGGAGATCGTGCGGAAGGCCGTGGTAGGCGGCGGTGGTGGGCTGGATCCTGGTCTGAGACTCGATGATGCGCATGCGCGGGAGGTCGGCAGCAGCCGGATCGTCGGCTGGTAGGGCGGCGTAGGAGTCGAGCTCGGTGCGGGTAAAGAGGAGTGTGGACCACGGCTCGGCGAGCGGGTTGATGTCGACGAGGACGACCTTGGTGAACTTGCGCTCGACGTAGACGTCAAACGAGAAGTGCGAGAGAGTAAAGGCGTCCGGGCGGCGCCGGGGCAAGATGGGCATGGTAAAAGTCGGCGAGCAGATGGCGGATGTGGTGGTGGACAGCAGCGCCTGAGGGCTCGTGGGTGCTAAGGAGGAAGGGGAAGAAGGTATCGGTGTGGCGCTGCGAGACGGCGACGAGGCGTGAGCCGAGGACAAAGGCACGGAACTCGAGCGCCGGCTGCAGATTGTAGAACTTGCGCAGAACCAGAGTGTGGCCAGCAGCTGGCGGGTCGAGACCGGTCCCGTCGCCCTCGGCATCCTCAGTGGTGCCGTGGTAGGGCCGGAGCAGATCGTGAGCCACAAAGTCGGAGGCCTTGAGCAGGAGAAAGACGTCGGCAGGGGTGACACACTTGAGCGATCCGCCAAACGAGGCCCAGACTGCATCCTTTGGAGCGGACCAGTCGAGCTTGGGCACCACACCGCCGCCGCCAAAGGCTTTGACGGTCTCGGCCACAAAGGCCTCGAGCTCGGGGAAGGCCGGGGCAAAGGCGTGGTCATCGCTCGCCTCGCTGCCATCAGCGTCGTCGGCCGGGAAGCCCGAGTCGGAGACGTCATCTAGAGCCTCGTCTAGAGCATCACGAGCAATGCCCTTCTCATCGGCAACTGAGGCTGGTAGCAGCAGGCCATCCGCCAGGAGGTAGTCGACAAAGGCCTGCGAGAGTGGGTGCGTCCGCGACTTGATGGACACGGCACGGAAGAGCGGGTGCCAGGCCTTGAAGGCGCACGCATCTACGTCTGCCCGCGAGGGCATGTACCTCCCTTCTGCAGCCATGTGTGGGTGGAGAGAGGTGTGGGTGTGGGTGTGGGTGTGGGTGTGGGTGGTTGGTGAGGCGGTGGGGAGGGGGGGAGGGGCGGTGATGGGACTCGATTGGGGCTCTTCGGGGGTTGGGCGGAGGAGCACGGTGGGCTGATGTCGAGAGGATGTGTGGTTTAGTCTTGATCATGGGGTAAAGTGTGGCCTGATCTTGGTCTTGATCATGAGGTGTGGTGTGGCCTGATCTTGGTCTTGATCATGGGGTGTGGTGTGGCCTGATCTTGGTCTTGATCATGGGGTGTGGTGTGGCCTGATCTTGGTCTTGATCATGAGGTGTGGTGTGGCCTGATCTTGGTCTTGATCAAGGGGTGAAGTGTGGCCTGATCTTGGTCTTGATCAAGGGGTGAAGTGTGGCCTGATCTTGGTCTTGATCATCATGGGGTGAGGTGTGGCCTGCTCCCGATGAAGATGTGTAGACGGATGATGATCACGACAAGGCCACGTCCTCGTCAAAACAGGTCACAATATCCGAGAAGATGCGGTATGATCACGATACGTGGCGCCCACCGCAGTCCGATCCCGAACTCGCGTGTGACCGCCAAGCGACGTCTCCCACCACGTGACCACCAATGCGGACCCTTCCTCCACCCCTCTCCACCTCCCCCCCCCCTTCCGGTTAGGGCCGAGGCGAGAGAGATGGACTCGACCTTTGCCGCACGGTTCCGAGCCAATATGGTTGGCGAGTGGGCTGCCAAGTACTTCCCCTACGAGGCCTACGCCGCTGAGCTGGCCTCCCTTCCGCACGCTGCTGAGCGCCTTGCGGAGGCAGGGCCTGGGGCTCTGGAAGCAGCGGCTGCCCTGGCCGACTCACCCTGGGGTGTCCCCGGCGTGGAGGCTGGGGAGAGCGGCCGTATTGACGCTTCGCTGGATGGGCCTGGTGATGAGCATGCTCCGCTGCTCGGCAGTGGTGGCGCCCGAGGGAGGACGTCGCCGCGGGCGCCTGCGCTGCTGCGGATCGCCGAGGGCTTCCTCATCAGGGTCCAGGGGGCAGAGGCCCGCGTCGACGAGTTCTACAGTGAAAAGGAAGAACTGTTTCGGACGCGAATCATGCGGCTGAACAACTACCTGGCGGCAAACAACCTGACCTACCCGCTGAGCGAGGGTAGCCCGCCGTCGTCGGCGCCGTCGACCCCGCGCGGCGGCAGTGGCGGCCGCGGGTCCAAGATCGACGTCGCCGCCATTCGCGACGCGCTGGAGGAGCTCTACCGCGGACTCCTTCTGCTCCGCAACTATGCGGCGCTCAACTTTACGGCAGTTCACGAGGTCCGCAAGGGTCTCGACTCGGTCTGCCGGACCTCCAAGTCGGCGTGGTTCCTCATCCGCAACGAGGTTGTCAGCCGCCGCGCGTACGCGTCTGCCAAGGACCGGCTTGAGCCGCTGCTCAATGAGATCGAGTGCCGCTACGCGGTGCTCTTTACTGAAGGCTCGGTGGCTGCGGCCAAGACTTCGCTGTTTGAGCGGAAGCAGCCACCGCCGCGCACCTTTCTCAACACCTTCAACCTCGGGTTCTTCTCGGGCTTCTCGGTCCCACTGGTGGTCCTCACACTCTCGCTCCTGTTCACCTCGTCCGAGGTCGGCTACGATCCAGAGGCCGACCTGTACCCGGTCATTCCGGTCTTCCGTTGCACCGGCATCCTCATTCTGGTCTTCTGGCTCTGGGGCGGTATTGTGGTGATTTTCGAAAAGTTCCGCATCAATCACACCTTTATCCTGGAGCTCGATCCGTCGACCGTCCTCGCGCACGACCGCATCTTCAAGTCGGGCGCGCTGCTCTCGGCGCTGTGGCTCTCGTGCTTCCTCCTCTTTCTCGCTGCCGTTCGTCGCGGCATCCACGTCTTTCCGGTCCACCACAAGGTGTATCCGGCCATTCTTGTCGGCGTACTCACACTCCTCCTCCTCTGTCCGTTCCGGATGCTCCACCGGCCGACGCGCTGGTGGCTCCTCACCCGCTCGCTGCGCACCATCTCGGCGCCGTTCTTTGCGGTCACCTTTGCCGACAACCTCATCGGCGATTACATGACGTCGCTGGTCAAGGTCCTGTACGACGCCGAGTACTTGGCGTGCTTCTACCTCTCCGGCGACTGGCTCAACAACGACTTTTCCCAGTGCCAGGAGACCAATCGCAAGTATGCCCTCCCTGTCCTCACTGCACTCCCGTTGGTCTGGCGTTTCCTGCAGTGCCTCCGCCGCTACCGCGACAGCGGCGACGCTTGGCCGCACCTCGGCAACGCCGGCAAGTACGCCGTTGCCACCGTCGCCGTCACTCTTGGCGCCTTCCACTCGGATTGGAAGTCGTACGGCCACGAGTACTCGGCCCCGCGCGTCGCCTGGCTCGCCCTGCTCGTCTTCTCCACCCTCTACGCCTACTCTTGGGACATCTGCATGGATTGGGGCCTGATGTGGTGGGCAGATGGAAAAGTTCACGTCCGCAAGCAGTTCCACTACGGCTCCCTTTGGGTCTACGCCCTTGCCGCCGTCCTCAACCTCTTTGGCCGCTTTGTGTGGATGCTCACCCTCATCACCGCTCCGGTCCAGTCGGCCATCAACCACGAGCTTGCCGTCTTTGTCTACGCCCTTGTCGAGGTCATCCGCCGCTCCGTCTGGGCTCTTCTTCGCATCGAGCACGAGCACTCGTTCAACGCCTCCAAGTTCCGCGCCGTCCGCGACATCCCCATCGCTTTTCACTCCAATACCACCATCAATACCTCGGCCTTTGACATCGTCGCCATCTCGCCGCGCCCCACCGACCCGACCGCACCCGTCGACACCGGCGATATCGAGCTCGCCGAGCGCTCGCGCTCTGCCTTTGCCGGCGCCTCCCCGCGCCAAATATCCGCCCACCACCACCAGCACCCGTCCGCCAAGTCCCGCTCCAACTCGGCCGCCGGCATCTCGCCTCACACATCCAACGCCGCGCACACCCTCCACACTGCTCATCCACATTGCCCGTAAAACCACACATACACGCACGCCATACACACGACCTACTTTGTTGACTTCCTGATCTGCTGGATTTCAAAGAGATCGACAGTCCCGCAATCGCACTCTCGCCGAGCTCTGGGCAGGGCGGGTCAGCGAGTGACGAGCCGTCGGACAGAATTTGGTCCATCTCCACTGAGCGCTCCACGTCCCCCCTCCCCCCCCCCTCCAACCCTCCCACCCCTTCCTACACCTCACCACCACCACCACCACCACCACCACCACCACCCGACTGCTCCACCCACCACTCCACACTCCATCCCTCTGTACCCTTTCCCCCTTCTCCACACGTTGGAAACAGACCAGGCCGTCACCCCCCCCCCCCCCCCCCGTCCCTCCCTCCCTCGCTCCCTCTCTGCGCACCCGCTTGGAACACAGCGGGCAGAGGAGCAAGTGAGCGGACAGTTTCGAGAAGGTGATCTTGGCTGAGAAGCAGACACATAGTACACCGGGTTGCTAGAGCAGGAGCTTGAAAAGTAATCATGGGCAGGCGCAGACGGAGGAAGAAGAAGGCCGGCGGAGCAGCGGCGGCGACCGGGACCCCGGGTGGGCTTGATGCTGGAGGTGGTTGGCAAGGTCAAGGTGGACACGCTGGTGATTCGAGTGGGAAAAGGAGAAAGACCAGTAGTGGTCTGTCAAAGGGTGAGGCCGCAGCAACCGCAGCGGCGGCAAAGGCCGCAGCCTCGGATCCTTTGGCCAACTATGAGCCGGTCCCGCTGGCAGCCGAGGACGAGCGGCGGAAGGGCAACAAGCAGTACCACCGCAAGAACTACGCCGCAGCAGTGTACCACTACACTCGATCTATTTCCGGCGCCGCTAAGAACCCATCGTTCCTCGGCGTGCTCTTTGCCAATCGCGCTGCTGCCCACATTGGGCTCAAGCATTACCAGGCTTGCGTCGACGACTGCACCGCAGCGCTCTCGCTAGACCCCAAGTCGGTCAAGGCCCATGGGCGCCGCGCGTACGCGCTGTACTCACTCAAGCGGTACGCCGACGCTGTGGCCGACTACGAGGCTGTCCTCAAGCTCGATCCCGACAACGTGCAAGTCCGCGACAACCTCGAGTGCGCGCTCCGCCAGCTGGACTTGGCATCCAAGCGCGACGTTGCCGGCGGCCTGAGCGCCAAGGCCAAGGGCGGTGGGGGTAAGCGGACGCGGACGCCGTCGGGCGGGTCGAAGCGCGACCACGACCGACCGCCGCTGCCGCCGCTGGAGCGCATCCCACTCGCCTCGTGCTCGACGTCTGTCTACGCGCTGGCATGCCTTGAAGCTGCTGCACCGGACCCCGAGACGCTCATCTACCCGATTGCGCTCGACGCAGCGGCCGCCGCTGGCGCCAGCCACAGTTTGGCGGCCGATGCCAAGGCCTCGCCGGCGGTGCTCGACTGGATGGCGTCGTCGCTGTATGCGTTGCACTACCCGTACGGTCCGATGAGCGGAGGCAACGTCGGCGCAGCGCCGGCTCCAGCTGAAGAGCTCGTGCCTGTTCCGGCAGCGAGCACAGGCCGCGGAGCCGGCGGCGACGGTGCGCTGCCGCGGCCGGGCCGCGAACGTACGCTGTCGGGCGGTGCCGAGACGTCGCGAAGCCGGCGGCGCGGGCGCAACAAGCGTCGGTCGTCGACCGGGAGCTCAGCCAAGGCTGACGGTGACGGCGGCGACGGCAATGACGGCAGTGGCGGCGATGGCGGTGGCGGCGACGATGGGCCGCGGGCGTCGGTCCTAGTTCCGGTCAGCGACGCCAACGTTGCCCGGGCCATGGCCATCAAGGTCGAGGGCAACAGCCGCTTTGCGGTCGGTGACCTTGACGCGGCGCTCGAGCACTACACCCGTGCGATTGAGATCAACCCCAACGAGGGTGTGTTTTACTCGAACCGGGCCCAGGTCCACCTCAAGCAGGAGTCGTACTACGATGCCATCCATGACTGTGCCAAGTCGATTGAGCGCGGGCCAACGTTCAAGGCGTACCTGCGGCGGGCCAAGGCTTGGCACGCGCTGCGGGCGTTTGAGGAGGCCTCGCGCGACTATGTCACTGCGTTGCGGTACGGAGCGCGGTACTCGGACGTGCGGCCTGGCCTCGAGCAGTGCCTGTACGAGATCGAGATGGGCTTCTTTGAGACGTACGCCATGAACACGGGCGTTGACACGACGCTCGTTCAGCTCATCCACTACGTTCAGTCCAAGATGTCGGGCATGGCGTACGACGTTGGCGCCATCGACAAGCACGACATCGAGCGGCTGGCGTCGTGCGTGTACTCGATCTGCGAGGTTGCTGCAGAGTTTCCGTTTTGGGACTACGAGGACGAGACCGCAGTGCCAGTCGCGGCCGAGGCGCCGGCGCCCGCCGGCGAAGACTCGCCGTGGACGCTCTCGACCTTTCTCAAGATGGCGCTCGACTCGGAGCTTTCGGCCGGGCTCGACCTCTCGTCGTGGGAGCAAAACCCGCGGTTGGTCGCGATCATGGACGACTACATCCGCCGCGGTGTGATTATCGACGACCGGACTCAGGCCAAGGACGGCACTGCTGGCCGGCCCAGCAATGCAGCAGCGCCTGAAGCCAGCACCGCTGCGGCCGCGCCGCCGCGGATCAGTGCTGCTGCGTCGGCTGCACTCGGCGCCGCCCTCCTCGGAGCCAATCGCGGACTCAACTCGGGCGAGATCCCGCTGTCGTCGGACGACATCCAGGCCTTTGTCTCGCTCCTCACCGAGTCGGCAATGTGTGCAGCGTTTTCGGTTGTGGCCGACTTTCTGGAAGTTGCCATTCCAGACGCATCGGACGACTCGCAGTTTCTTGCGCTCGTCAACGAGACCTCACACTTTCAGGCCGACGAACCGCTGCGCGTGGCGTTCCAGGCTGCCCAGACGATGCTCAAGATGAAGGGCGGAGGCGAGGCGCTCGCGCCCGAGGCCATTGTCAGCAAGCTCAACAAGGTGCTTGTGGCTCAGCCGCCGCCGGCCATGCTCGAGGCTAACTACGTCCGCGCTCTGGTCTACCTCGTCCGGGCTCATGCCAAGGGTCCTGTTCCGGACGTCAGCGACCTGCGGCTTGCCGCCGAGTGCGAGCCTGAGTCGGCCTTTGTCCAGGGCCTCATTCTTGCGGCCCAGAAGCAGGCCGAGCTCCGTGACATCCGCCCGGATCGGCGTTGAGCGAGCAGCCCAGGAGTACTGCACAATCTGCCAAGCCACGTTGCGGGTTGTCGTTCATTGCGCAGCAGCAGCAACCACAACCGCGAGCTACGAAAGAAAGTACACGCCGCTACGGCAGCAAGTTGTTCCTCGTTGCGCAACAGAACCAAACCCAACAGACCACAGCCAGGCACCATATCAAGCCACGTTGCGGGTTGTCGTTCATTGCGCAGCAGCAGCAACCACAACCGCGATCCAGACTACAGGCACTTGCGGTGGAGAATGCTCTTGCCCTCCTCCTGATACTCCTCGGACGAGATCCACATCTTCTTAAAGGTGGCGAGCGAGGCGAGGATAGAACCGCCGATCCAGGCCGAGTAGGCGCGCTCGGGCGGGGCGGCGATGCGGATCTTGACGTCCTTAGGAGCGAGCTCCTTGACCTCCTTGAGCAGGCGGTTGCCAAAGCCGCGGAAGAGGGTGGAGCCGCCAGCGAGCACCATGTGCGAGTACAGGGTTTTCCTCAGGTCCATGTCGCAGTTGGTGATGGACGAGACAACAATCTCGTGGACGCCCTCGTACTCGGAGCCGATCAACTCTGGGTTGAACAGCACCTCGGGCGCGCGGAACCGCTCCGGCCCGATCTCCATGACCGAGCCATCGGGCAGGGTGTACGACTGCAGGGTGTGTCCGCGGTCGAGCTCGAGCGACTCCTCCTTCTTGGGATTGTACGAGACCTTGCAGAGCGCCTCCTTGAGCGACCGGACCGCCAGCATTTCCGCCGAAGTGTGGAAGGCGTACCCGGCCTTGCGCAGCAGCCGCACCAGATGCCGAGTAATGTCGCGCCCTCCCAGGTCAATTCTAGAGATGGCGTGCGGCATGGCAAAGCCCTCGTAGATAGGCACGGCCGTCGTCACGCCCTCGCCACAGTCCAGGACCATGCCGGTCGTCTTGCCCGACGCGTACAGCGAGAGCACGGCCTGCATCGACACAAACAGGGCCGGAACGTTGTATGTCTCAAAGAACAGCTCTGCTGCCTCCTCCCGGTTTGCCCGCGGGTTGAGCGGCGACTCGGTGAGAAGCACAGGATGCTCCTGCGAGTGAATCTTGAGCTCCTCGTTGTAGATGTGCGACCAGAGCCGCTGCATGTCTGCCCAGTCGTTGACGATGCCATGCTCCATCGGGTATCGCACCTTGAGCAGCCCACGCAGATCGTCCGCCCGCCCTCCCACAAAGTGATCTCCCTCCACAGCCCCTGCCATCAGCCGCACGTGCTTGGGCGTCCCCACGTAGTTGGAGAACGCCACAGACGGCAGCTCGTCGCCAGCAAACCCAGCCTTCAGCACCCCGGTCCCCTACCCACACCCATGCCCCCCCAAACCCACACCCACACCCACAGACATAGCATGTCAGTCACTTCAGTCATCTCCCTGCCTCCTTCCCCCTCCGGCTCTCTCCCCCGCCCCCCCCTTCCGCGGCCAGTGGCCGCATCGCCCGCGCCTGTTTTTTCTCCCGCGCCACCCCACCCACCCCCACCTTCCCCCCTCGGTCACACACGGGATACCCCCCCCACACACACACAACACACACACTGTTCCGTACATTGTCAATGACCACGGGCTGGTTGTACCCCTCGGCCATGTGCGGTACCTGTCGGTGAGCAGTGAGCCAGGTGTAGCCCACTGTCGTAGTTGTCGAGGGTGGGGCGGGGGGGGGGGGGGGGGAGGGTGGCGGGGTGGGGGCTGACGGCGCATTGGCCTACGGGTGGCAGGATGGCATCTAGCACCGTGGGGGGATTCCAGAGAGGTATGCGGAGGGAGATGACTGGTTGGTGGAGGGATTGGAGGTGCTACGTTTATCAGAGGTGATGATGATCAATCAATCAGTACTTGCCCTCGCGCTTGTCCTGGCCAAACAGCGAGGCGTCGCCCCACGGGAAGGCGCGCTTGCGGCGCTCCTGGAAGGCGTAGAGGGGAGCATCCGAGTGATGGTGGTCATGCGAGAAGTGACGCATGGCCACGTATGCGGTGACAACACCAAGCGCAGCAAGGCCGCCCTTGGAGTACATCTTCCACGCGGAAGCATGGTCTGCACCCTCGAGCCGCAACAGCCGAGCCGACCCCCCGCCAAGAACCACCGCCACACAACAAGCCCCAGGGTAAGTAAACCACTTCAAACACCCTCACTGCATGTCGCCATCCACATGGCGTCCTCCTCTGCCGCCTGATGCCTTGGCCCTTGCCGATTCAGCCTCTCCGTCTCGCGGCTGCTGCGTCATGGCCGCCAATGATCGCCCGGTGGGGTCGAGTTGGGTCGCACGCCGTGGCAGCCACTTCTGGAGAGCAATCCCATACAGAGCGCTACAACTTCCACTCGAGGTAACCATGGCTGTGTACTTTTCTTGTACGAGAGTAGGTACCACCTCCAGAAGCACACCTCGCGCTATCCCCATAGCAACACGTCGGCGGGCGGGCTGGACGACTAATTTTTGGCCATCACACGCCACTTGGCCCTCGACCCACAGCCAAAGGAAAGCAGGTGGGGGAGGGGGAAGGGAGGGGGGGAGGGAGGGAGGGGAGGGGGGGGGGAGGTGGGAAGGGAGAGGACAACGTACGAGCAGCCTCAGCGGCAGAGCCGGACATCATCCGGACGGCAGGGACGGCAGAAGCCGCAGCACGACGAACGAAAGCCATTGTTGACAAGAGGGGGAGAAAAGTGCTGTTCGCGGAGGAGGGGTGGGGGAGGGGGGCGGTTTGAGAGCAAGCCGTGGCATGGCTAGAGCGCATCTGACAGGTTCAGCACAGCATTGGAGGTGATGATACTGGCGTAGTTGGATGCGGTTGATTTGTGCGGCAAGGCAAGCTTGGCCGATGGCATGTCTTGGGCCTTGGGCGCGCCAGGATGAGAAACGAGTCGCCGGCAGCAAGGGCGGCGCAAGGCGGGAGGCAGTCAGCGCGACGATCGGCAGACTCATGGCCGCATCATGGCCGCATCCGAAAGGACAGGCAAGAGCAGCTAGCTAAAGAAGAAACCACGAGATAATGGTGAACGGAGTGAGCCAGAGATGGTGGAGGAGAAGCTTGGTCGCGATGACTGGGTAGCGGTCGTGGTCGAGGTACGAGTCCATGTACGTCTTCTCCCCATACACCCGGTGCGCTGCCTCTTGAACGATAAACGCGCCGATGACCAGCCCGGCAGCCTGCCAGAACTGCATGTAGTGGGCGAGGCTTCGCGATGGAAGGCAAAAGACAACAAGGAACGGGACGACGACGATGACCGCAGAGAGGAACGCAACTTGAGGCGCATGCGCCTCGACAGTGTAGCGGACAACGAGAACGAGTCCAGCGATGACGGCTGCCGATCCAGACCGAGAGACGAGGCCAACAAGACCAAGAGCGCCCCCCATGCCCAGTGCCACAGTGGCCAGATGGACATAGACATTCCCGGCGTGGCGATGGAACTGCGTGTAGTCGGCGCCAAGTGCGGTAAAGCTCGCCCACGATGCCGCTTCGATATGGGCATCGGTGACCTTGAGCGCGAGCACAAGGCCACAGGCGACGACGTGACCGGCGACAAGCCCACTCCATTTGGCCTTGAACGTTGGCGAGAGAAGCAGGACAATCAAGCCAGCAACTGTGCCGGCGATCTCAGGGTGCGGGACATCGACATCGCCAGCACCTACCGCCGCCATTGCAAAGCCAGGGGCGGCGAGGAGCACCAGAAGACCATCGACCGCCGACGATGCAGTTGAAAGATACGCAAATGCTAGCGCACTGGCAGAAAGCACGGTCAAGAAGAGCATGTCGCGGTGAAAAACGCCATCGTCCACATCGCGAAAGACAGCATTGAGCACCTGCACCATGTAGGGAAGGAACGCGACCGAGAGAACTGCGTCGTCGAGCACAGACAACAAACTCCCCCAGCAGCGGCACGAGCACGGAGGCCGAGCACAGCACATGCCATCGCGGCCAGCATGGCCAGATTGGAAATGCCCACGTGGGCTTCGGCCTGCGAGTAGACAATGGTCGCCCACGGGAGCGTGCCGACGAGCTGGTCGATGGCCATGCTGGCGGCGCCGTAGAGGATGGCAGCGTGCTCGCCAAGCGGGCCCGGAGCTACAGCGACATGAAGGCGGACAAAGACATGCGGGGCGGCATCCGTCGTCACGCTAGAAGCAGTCTGCATCGCGACCAGCTCGCGGTGGTAGTCAAAGCAGATCATGTCGCCAGGAGCGAGTGCATGCACACCATCCGCATGACTGCGGAGCGGAAAGGCGACCTCCACACCTCCCTCTCCAGCCACTAGATACGGACACCGTAGCAGTGCGACGCCAGGCACAAAGCCCAGTAGGCCTTTGACAACGCCCGGTTGGCCCGGACCAGACAAGCGCTGTATAGCCAGATCGTTCATGCCATCGACATGAGCGATGTGAAAGGTGCCCGGCGGTGTGTGCTGAGCTACAGCATCCAGCATCATCCGCGAAGTCTTCAGTCCCTTCAGCGCTCGGGCAGCATCAGACGAAGCCTCAGCTACCTCGTGGAAAGGGACGCTGCGAGCGAGGTTCCGGGTTGGCGACGCGACAGTGGCGAGATACCGAGCCAATAGCGGTGCATACTCTGCGTCCGACACTGGGCCCAGCAGCCCAGCAGCCACAGAGGGTAAAGTTAGAACGACAAACGCTGCCGCCGCAATGACGAGGCACAGATGCTTCATACGAGAGAGTCCTTTGTCCCTCCTACCTCTCAAGTGCTCAAGCCCGAACAGCTGAGTCATCTCGCGGCTGGCGCCGACCCGATCACCAACACAGACAGACACATCCATATGTCACCACACGACTGGCATCGACTCCTGCGGGCACGTCATCGGACACGTCATCGACTACGACTTTTCGGGCAAGGCAGGCAAGGCGATTTCATCTGCGTCACTTTACGTCGGCGATGAGGCGCACCTTGCCGATGTCCATGCCTGTGGCGCACGACGCGTATGCGCTGAGCAAGCTCAGGGCATTGAAACAGCCAATGGTGTGATGGTGTGAGTGCAAGCGTGTGCGATGAGCCCGCACTTACAGCCGCAGTGGTCGCGTCTAGCGATCTGATGCTAATGGAGTGCAACTTGTTGGGCCAGCAGCGACCAAGGAGTGTACAGCTGTGCAGAGCGGGGAAGGCTTTCGGCGAAGCATTAGTGATCACCGCTATTGACCGAAACGCACCCAGGTCAGCCCCCTCCACACATCCCACCCCGCCACAGCAATATCGAGCCGCTCCTCCCTGCATCATCCCCCTCACATTACCCTCTTTACCATTTCCAGAGCTTCTACCCCTTCATACGAGAGAGTCCTTTGTATCTGTCCATATCACCCCCTCAAGCCCGAACAGCTGAGTCATCTCGTGGCTGGCGCCGACCCGATCACCAACACAGACAGACACATCCATATGTCACCACACGACTGGCATCGACTCCTGCGGGCACGTCATCGGACACGTCATCGACTACGACTTTTCGGGCAAGGCAGGCAAGGCGATTTCATCTGCGTCACTTTACGTCGGCGATGAGGCGCACCTTGCCGATGTCCATGCCTGTGGCGCACGACGCGTATGCGCTGAGCAAGCTCAGGGCATGGTGTGAGTGCAAGCGTGTGCGATGAGCCCGCACTTACAGCCGCAGTGGTCGCGTCTAGCGATCTGATGCTAATGGAGTGCAACTTGTTGGGCCAGCAGCGACCAAGGAGTGTACAGCTGTGCAGAGCGGGGAAGGCTTTCGGCGAAGCATTAGTGATCACCGCTATTGACCGAAACGCACCCAGGTCAGCCCCCTCCACACATCCCACCCCGTCACAGCAATATCGAGCCGCTCCTCCCTGCATCATCCCCCTCACATTACCCTCTTTACCATTTCCAGAGCTTCTACCCCTCCCATCTCCCGATCATCTCCAATCTGTATCTGTCCATATCACCCCCCCCCCTTTCCTCCTGCCCAACTCCACGCGATCCCGAGTCCAAACCCTCATCCCCCTCCTTCCCCACACCACCCATCCACCCATCAACTACGCACTTGCCCTCCATGCCACCCATCTACCCTTACCTCCCTTTTTCTCTCCTTCATCTACATCCTTTCAACCGGTGATCATCCATCCACCCGATCTCCATCCCCCTCCCCCCCCCTCCCTCCCTCTGCTTCCAACTATCTTCACCAACGGACTTTGGCCCGACCCACGCCATTCCTCTTCACCACGAGCAGGCCGTTCTCTACCATGGGCTGCGGCTCGTCAACCCAGGCACGGGCATCATCTGCATCGACCGCATCTGCATCTGCCAGAAAGAACAAACCAAAGTCAAAGGCCAAGGCCAAGGCCAAGCCCCGTCGTGGTCGTAAGGGTCTTCCGCCGGCATCTGTCTCGTCGGCTCCTCCCAAACTGGTGGACTCTGATGATGACCGCGATGGCTCGGATGACGTTGATGCTGGTCGCGGTGGTGATGGTGGTGAGATCGAAATGGACGAAGATGAAGAGGAGGCGCTGGTTGAAGAGGCCGAGGCTGAGGCTGATCTAATCTGTGCTCTTGCCCGCAAGATGACCACCGCCGTGTCGGGCAAGGGCCGCTTCTCTGTTTGCTACGCAAAGGGCTCGGCTGGGGCGTCCAAGGCAAAGGGTGGCGGGTCGCGGTCGCGGGGGGAAAGAGCTCGTCGTCACCGGTGCTGGTACCCATCGCTCTTGGCGATGGGGCCCCGCCGCTTGTCTTTGATGTTGCTGTGGCCAAGGAGGCGTACTCGGCCACGCTTGCTCTCGTTCCCATCGCAGCCGAGGCTGCATATGATGTATACTGGCAGACGATGGTTTCTAGTAGCACTACATCAGCGCAGCTGGAGTACTCGCCGCAGAAGCGGCCGCTCCCTCCGCGCCGCACTCTCCGCGCGGTTCTGCTCGTCGGGCTCGACACCGTTGCTGTCGACGAGTCCACCGTCTTTGTCCCTGCTGCAGACACCTTCTTTCTCTCACCATCGCCATACCTCTTTGCCCACGGCCTCCGCCTCTCCAAGCCATCACCCATGCGCATAGACTGGTACGGCCCTGGTCCAGAGACGCCCGGCGCAGCTGCCGGCCTCTGGATCGGCCTTGTTCCTCAAGCAAAGGCACCCAAGCCAGGTGCCAGGTTTGCCCGGACAAAAGCAACGGTTGCTGCTGATCTTGTTCCTCCTCTAGACGGCGAAGAGCACGAGGAGCAGGAGGAGGAAGAGAGCGGGGGTACTCGTGCGCGGCGATCGAACCGTGGACGTGGTCGTGGTGGTGGCGGCCGCGGTCGTGGCCGCTCCTCCCGCACCAGAGGTGGAGGCGGTGCCGCAGCGTCGTCGTCAACAGCCGCTCCTGAAGCCAAGCCTGACGACAACGCTGACGACGCTGTGCCTGAGGGCATGGATCCACGGATCGGCTATTACGGCTCGCGTATGATTCCAACCGCTGCGCTCTCCGAGGGAGTGTACGTGGCCGTTGTCGGCGACAGCAGCGGCATGCTCCTTGCTGTCGCTGACAAGCCCGTCACGCTCGACACCATGTTCCGCGATGAGTCGCGAGAGGTCATCTTTGGTGATGTCGGCATCACTTCTGATGCCGTTGTCGCCGGCCTCTCGCACGACGGTGATACGTTTGACCACAACATGGAGCTTGATGGCTTGACCATCGAGGTTGTGACCAAGAAGGCGGGTGTTGTGGCCGCTGGCGAGGGGCTCTCGGTCACCTGGTCGTTCCCATCCGACTACACACTCGGGATGGAGATGCTCTACATCGCGCCAGTGGGCAAGGGCATGATGGGCACTGTCGCCGCTACCCAGATCACCAAAGCGTCTGGTTCGTACGAGATCGATGACTCGTATGCTGGAGCAGTGTTCAAGCACGACGTCGTCTACGAGGCCTTTGTGGTCACCTCGACCGCTGTCCGTGGCCGCTCCGCTCCGTTCACTGCCAAGATGATCGACGAGACTGCTGCCGCTGCCGCTGCTGCCGAACGTGCTGCCTCGGGCTGGTCCATTGCCATTGCCGACAGCAAGTCCAAGGTCCAGTACGGCGCCCCCCTCGTGTGTACCTGGTCCATCTCTACCGAAGAAGCCGAGGCCATGGCCATGACCCTTGCTGTTGCCGTTGTCGGCAAAACCGAGGCAGTCACCGACGGCTTACCGGGCCTCTCAGTCACGCTCGATCGCCAAGTCGGCGAGACAACCGGCACTGCCACTTTTCTCCGCTTCTGTGGCGGCTCCTCTCACCCGGCGCCCGCTATGGACTGGCGCTCCGTGACTCGTGGGGTGAGATCCTCGCCGAGGTCGAGTTTAAGGTCATCGACAAGGCTGGTCTCTCGTTCTCGATGGTGTCCGATGCGGCGTCGGACGCGTCCTGGCGCCTTGCATCCGGCTCGTACTACTCGGCCTTTTCCACCGTTCTCAAGTCTGCCAAGGCAGCAGGGACCCGCTACTCGGACTCGTCGTTTATCTCGGGCGCGGCGTCGTCGCTCTGGCTCAACCCGGCCAAGCCACCGCCGGACGAGTACATCGCCCACCCGGAGCACGAGTGGGTCTCTCTCCTTGATGCCTACACCGCCACACTTGCTGGAGAAGACGCCCCCTGGCATCGACCCAGCTACCGTGTATCCTCCCGTCATCAACCGACGACTTTCCGTGCCCGATCGAGCAGGGTGGCATCGGCGACTGCTATCTCATCTCGTCGCTCAACGTCATGGCCTCAGCACGCCATGCCGACGCCATGCTCCGCGATCTTTTTGTGGGCTACGACATCATCATGGGCGCGTACGCGCTCTCGCTCTACCGATTTGGCATCCGCAAGCTGGTCACCATCGACGACCTTGTCCCGGCCACACCCTCAGGCAAGCCGCTCTTTGCCTGGGGCGAGGACCGCGGCCAGCTGTATGCACCGCTCATCGAGAAGGCGTACGCTGCCATGTACGGCTGCTACGAGGCCATTGATGGCGGTCTCGAACGCTTTGCCATGATGGAGATGACCGGTGGCATGGCCATGGCCGTCCCGCTTCCGGCTGCGCTCACTCCTGGCGCGCTTGCCACACTCTGGGACACGGTGCTGGCTGCCTTTGACTCTGGGGCGCTGCTTGCATGCTCACGAGCGCACGACGATCCCGAAAACTTTGATACTGATCCCGAGACCGGCATTGTGTACAACCATGCGTACGGCATTGTCAAGGCCGTCCAGCTCAAGAACAAGACCAAGACGCGTCTGCTGCAGATTCGCAATCCGCACGGCTCTGGCGAGTGGTCCGGTGCCTGGTCCGATGACTCGCCGCTGTGGACTGCCAAGCTCCGCGCCGCTGCAGGTGCTACCGAGTCCAAGGTCGACGACGGCCTGTTCTTCATGTCCATTGAGGACTTTGCCACCTACTTTACCGCCGTCGATGCCTGCTACCCCATCCCGGACGGCTGGGGCCACGCGTCGTTTGAGACACAGTGGACGCTTGACAACGTCATGGCCAAGGATGGCATCGCGCCGCTCGACTCGTTCACGCCACTTGCCGATCTTGTCGAGGCCTCGGCTGAAGCTGAGGACGCGTGGTGGCACGCGCCGTCTGTCCGCATCACTGTCGCCTCGGAGACCGAAGTCATTGTCGCACTCTACCAGTCTGACATGGAGCTGTTTGTCGAAGCGTCGGATCCATCGCATCCGGTCTACCGTAGAACTAACGATCTTGTCCACGCCGTCGGCATCCGCATCGAGACCCTCCGTCGTGGTGATACTCAGCCGCAATTTGCCGCCCCAGTGGAAGGTGACGACGACGACGACGACGAGGCCGGCTTCAACTTTGAGTTTGGCTCTCCGCCCATCAACACCACAACCCTCGTTGATCTAGCTCCCGCCACTGAGCCGCAGGTCTTTGTCCGCACTGTCCTGCCGAAGGGCGTCCACATTGTCTACGCCCGCTCGGTCCGTGCAGACATTCAGGGCTGGACTGTCGGCCATCTCCGGGTCTTTGCGCCCGATCTCTCGCTACTCACTCTCGACGTCAACGAGTGCTGCGAGATGCTCAACACCAAGTTCCGTGCCGTGAACCTTGATCAGGTCATGGGCAAGGGCGGTGCCCACAAGCTTCCGCTCGCCACCATGGCCGAGCTTGATGTTTTGGCGATGATGACGGTGAGTCCAGCGAGTCCGGCGATGGCGATGGCGATGGCGATGGCGACGGAAAGGCCGAGGTAGGCCGCCGCGGTCGTGCACGTCGTCGTCGTGGTCGTGCACGTCGCCGGCGTGGTCGCGCACGTCGCCGTCGCGGTCGTGCACGGCGCCGTCGCGGTCGTGCACGGCGTCGTCGTGGTCGTGCACGGCGTCGTCGTGGTCGTGCACGGCGTCGTCGTGGTCGTGCACGGCGTCGTCGCGGAGCCGGCATCCGCCGTGAATGAATGAAAGCCGCAGTGCAGTGCTGTGTTAATACCCTCACTGCCAGTTGAGCGAGACTCGCTCGCCACACCACGCACAAGAGCCACCTCCGACCCGGATCCAAGCGTTCCACGCGTCGGCAGCGGCGAGCATGCCGCAGGCGTTGCAGGCCTTGCCCGACGCGCCCGACGCGCCGACGGCCTCACCAGTCACGATGCACACGTCGGAGCCGGCATCGCCGCAGGCGGTGCACACGAGGCCACCAGCCCACTTGAACGCGCCGCACCGCGCGCACGGCGAGCCGTCCAGCTTGCCTTCAACCTCCTCCATGCCCTTTTCGATGACCCAGTTGCGGATGCGCTCGACTTCGGCGTGCGGGACAAAGGCCGCCGACTCCTCCGGAATAAACAGGTCACGCGGGACGTCGGTCTCGTCAAACAGAGTGTCGCCGACCAACTCGCCGTCACGCATGGCGTCGGCAATGTCAACAAACCGGTTCCAGGCCACAAACGCGCTTGCCACTGAGCCGGCCTTGATTGCGGCCGCTCCAGCCTCGTAGAAGAGCCGATCCGCAGGCAGGACGTGCGCGTAGCGGAGGAGCGCGAACGAGAGACGGACCAGAAGCTGCGAGGCGTCCCCCTGCCAGTCTCTGCCGCCGTGTCAAGCTGAATCTTGACCTTGAGCAGGTGCGCAAGGAGCAGATACTGCTCGAGGGCACCGGCTTCCTCGTCGACGCCTGGCCGACAGGCAGGCCCTGCCGGACCAGGGCGTAAAGGAAGGTCTTGAGTTCGCTCACTACATCGAGTTCCATCCCGCTGAGCACCTCCTTGGCCAGGCGGGCAAAGAGCGGCATGTGCTGGGCGAGCGCCAGAGGTGGATACCGAGCGTACACCCGGACAGCCTCCACGAATCTGGACTCACTGCCAGACTCGAGCAGCTGCGAAACGTAGCGTGTGGTGTACCCGGTGAGCAGCTCTGGATCGCGCAACGAGTCTGCAGTTGAGAGCACCCGCTCCCACTCGCCCTGCGAGGCAAGGACCTCCAGCCCGGCGCGAGTGTCGCCTTCAGCAAGCAGGCTCGACGCGTCGCCGCGGTTGACGAGCCATGCTCGCTTCTCGGCCGCCACATAATCGGAAAAGCCTGGTGCGCGACGCGCGGCAAGGTCGACGGCGCGATCAAACATTTCGGCAGACATGAGAACGTCGAGTGCCTCCTTGTACATCTCGACCTCGGCGTAGAGGTCGGCGGCAACCTGGACGCGACCCATGTCAACAAGCATGGTCGAGACCTTGGTCACGACCTCGGCCACGCGATCCGGCACAAACTTGATGGCCAGCGGGACAAGGTGTCGCTCCCAGGTCTCCTCCAGAAAGTCGTGGTCCGCCACCTCGTCGGGCGAGAGCCCGAGGTACGTGTCGATCGCCTTAGAGTACTCGCCCTGGTCAACCCAGACGGATGCCTGCTCGAGCACGCCTTCCTTCGACGCTGAGCCGGCAGACTGCAGCGACCGCTCATAGCGGGCCTGAACCTCACCGAGCTCGTGCGGGGTGTGGACGCGGGCAACGCGGAGAGCAGAGGGCCAGTCGCCGGCTTCGACAAACATCTCGATGGCTAGCTCTGGCCGCTCGACGCGAAGGTAGAGCTTTTCGGCGGCTTCGAGGTCGCCACGCTCGGCGGCGTCCTTGGCCTGCGCCACAAAAATATCCTTCATGGCCGACGGATCGTTCTCGCGCGCCACCCGGGTCGCCGCTGCCCAGTCGTGGGCGTGGGCGTACATGAGGATGGCCTCGCGCGGCCGGCCCGCCGCAATAAAGTGAGTCTCAGCCTCGGCGAGGTTGTTGGCATCTTCCAGCACGTATGCGCGCTTGATATGGACCTGGCCAAGAAGGGCTGGATGCCGGGCTGAGTGCTCGTGGGCAAGCTCGGTCGCCATCTCCCACTCGCCCGAGTCCATGGCGTAGGCCACCGCCGGCGGGGCCAGCCCAAGCTTGCCCACAATCGACGACGGCAGCTGCTCGGCCTTGATCCAGTAGTAGGCAATCTGGTTGGCGATGGCCTGCGGCGCGGCCTCGCGCGCGACCCGGTAGGCGTCGTCCCACCGCGAAGCTGCGCGGTACATGTTGATTGCGGCCTTGGGATCTTGTCCGGCAAGGTAGTGCTTCTCGGCCTCGCCCAGCCGGCTCTCTGACTCGAGCTGCTGCGCCAAATGCAGGTGGGTGTCGAGGAGCAGGTCCTTGTGGAAGACCGAGACCAACCGGATCATGTCGTCGTACCGGGCGGCCTGCTTGTACATCTGGATGGCCGAGTCTGGCTCGTCAGCCTCGATGTACATGCGCTCGGCGTCGGCGAGCTTGCCTGCCGCGTGCAGCTTACCGGCCTGATCCAAGTAGAGCGAGGCAAGCTCGCCGGGCTCGAGGTGGCCGGCGAGCCGCGAGACGTCGGCAAACCTCCCAGCGCGGGTGTACATCTCCACCACCGACCGTGGCTGGTCACACCGCATGTACAGCGTCTCGGCCGACTCGTATTCGCCGACCTCGTCAAAGTGAGCCGCGAGTTTGAGCGCGTACCCTGTTGCCGAGTCGGCTGGCAGTGAGTTGAGCAGGGAGAGGGCCTTGGTGTAGAGCCGCGCCTTCATCGCCGCCTCGAGCGCCTTGACGTACGCACCTGCCTCGACGTAGTGGTTCACAGCCGAGTCGTAGTTCTTGGCGTTGACCAGGTAGTCACCCCACTCCTCCTCGAGCCCGGTCACCGAACCCGGGGTGACTCGCCGTGCGAGCGCCACCGCGTTGCCGTACGCACCGCCCTGGCGGTAGGCATCAAGCGCGCGGTCTGACTTGCCGAGCCGCTCAAAGAACTCGCCGGCCTTGGAGTAGTTCCGCGAGTTGAACAACGCAGTCCCGATGCGCTCCAGCACGTCGGCCGAGACGTCGAGCCCACGCTCGGTGACCAGCGACGCGGCGCGGGCAGGCAGCGAGCCCTGCAGGTACAGGGCAATGGCATCGGCAAACTCGCCCTCATCGGCCTTGAACTTGGCTGCCTCCCCAAACTGGGCCGTCTCCATCAGCCAGCCAAAGTACTCCTCTTTGTAGGTGGCCAGGCCCGGGAAGTTACCCTCGCGCGCGACCCGCAGCGCCTCGCCGTGCTTGTGCAGACCCTGCCACATGCGCATGGCTTCTTGGACGCCGGCCTCGCCGCCGTAGCGAAGGAGTAGCGACTCGGCCTCGCGAGGTGTGCCGCGAAGCACCAGCAGTCGCGCCTGGACCGCGTAGTGTGAGGCGCCATCGACCGAGGCCCGCGCCAGCGCCAGCACGTCTTTGAGGTACGCGGCCTTGGCCACGTCGCCGGTCGCCGCGTAGCACCTGTGCGCCACCACGAGGTTACCGGCCTCCAGCGCAAGGCTACCAAGCGTGGCCCACATGCCGGCTGCCTGCGGCGATGCCGGGTCGAGCACCTCGAGCATGGCAATGGCGCGGCCAAAGTCTGAGTCTTGCAGGGCAGCGCCAAACTCGATAAGGCCCTCGTCGAGAACCACCTGCGAGGTGTTGAAACCATCATCAACGGCCACGTACGTGGTGCCGTCGGCACGGACAATCGAGTCGACGTCGCCAGCAATGGGGAAAGTCTCGCATGACGACGGTGACGCAACCGAGTACCAGACGTGGAGCGTCGAGCGCGACTGGGCAACCACTACGTCCGAAAAAGGCACCCACTGAACGTAGGAGCAGTACGAGAGGAGCGTGACCTTGTCACCAGGCGCGTGGGCGCCCGGGCCGGCGTCGGCAGCGGCGACAGACTCGCGCGATGCGTTGCCCGAGCCCGCCTCAAGGAAGACCAGGTAGAGGAACTTGGTCTTGTCGCGGAAGAGCAGATAGTCGCCGTTGCGAGAGAGCTCGAGCCAGTCGACCTTCTTGTCGTGAGTGATCGAGACCGCAGCCGCGTCGTAGGCGTCGGACGCGAGCGTCGAGACAGAGATGGTGAAAGGGTCGAGGAGGTAGGCGAGCTTGGCCGGAGTAGCGGCCAGCTGCGACGGGACGCAGATGGAGAGCCGGTGCGGGTTGACAACCTCGGTCCTCACAGTGGCGAGCGGGACGGAGACGCCGTACTGGACGAGCGTCAGCTCGCCGGCGTTGAAGATCATGCACACGGACGGGTTGTCAAAGTAGAACTTTCGTTGCCCGAGCCGGCCCAGGGAATTTCCGACACCGCCAGGCGGCCGAGGTCAGCCGCAAGGAGCGAGGTCGGAGTGGTGGCGATGAGGTAGCGGCCTTGAAAAATGTTGATCTTCTCGATCTCGGGCCCGCGCTCGGCCTTGACGAGCACCCCGTCCGAGGCAGCAGACTCGGGGATGGCCGAAGAAGCAAGAAGCGGCTTGACAAGGACCTGGTTGGCGGCGAGATAGGTAAATTCAAACTGGCCGCGGTAGCGGGCACGCTTGAGGGCAGCGTCGAACATCTCCATGCAGCCCGGGGCCGAGCCGGCAACCAGCCGTGAGCCCGACGGTGACCAGGCAAACGAGGAGAGTGCGCCCATGCCGGATGCCGGCTTGGTACCGGCAATGACCCAGCGGCTCCGCGCGGGTGACCAGGTGAGGAGGTAGATGGCCGAGTACGAGCCAAGGACGGCAGCGGCGCCCGACGGCGAGACGGCGAGCGTGGTGAGCGGACCGTAGCTAGGGTCGCGTGAAAAGTCGAGCGGAACTTGCGAAGTCGCCGGCGGATTGTCGGCGGTGAGGCAGTAGACCTTGTTGTCAGAGGCCGGAACGAGGATGGACGAGCCCCAGCCGACGCTCAGCGGGACGGCCGGCGCCACCGAGGCCTTAAAGTGGCTCGCCGGTGCGCCGTCGTGGTCAAACTCAAAGACAAAGAGCGTGCCGTCGAGGTGGGCAAAGACGGCCGAGTGGCCCGATGGGCCGGGCGCGGCGGCGACAAGCGGCGAGTCGGTATCGTACAGCGGCGCTGCCTTCTTCCGCTTGAGGTTACCAACCTTGACCGCACCGGACGCGTCGCCAAAGAGAAGCTCATTTGGCCGAAGCGCTGGCCAGACCAGGGCCGTCAGCGGCGCTGCAGCGGCAAACTTGTTGCAGATCGCCTTTGAGGCGCCCCACTCTGCGCCAAGTTTGTAGACAAAGACCGTCGAGTCTGACTGGGCGATGGCGAGCTTGGTCGAGTCTGGTGAAAAGGCCATAGCCACGACCTTGTACGACTTGGCCGCACCCTTGCCACCACCTGGTTTGGTAGCAAACTTGTCCTTCCGCTCTCCAGACGCAGGGTCGAACAGGTGGACGACCCGGTCGGCTGTCGCAGCCGCCAGCCGCATGTTGTTGCCCGCAAACGCCAGTGCGTCCACACGGTGGTCGCGCTTCTTGCTCCCCGCCAGCGTCGTCACGTGCCGGAGGTGCATAGTAAGGGGGGAGTATGGGGGTTGGAGTGTGACTTGGAGTGTGTGTGTGTGTGTGGGCGTGCGTGTATGTGTGTGTGGACGGCAAGGGGTAGGTGGGGGAGGGG